TGTATAAATAATATTATGTTATTACTACAGGCTTGGATTGGTAGATATTTGCATCATTTTACATGCATAGCGTTTGAAAATAATCTTTAATTGAAAAATTGAAAATACTTAAGACTTTAAAAATGCGTTGGATATGCATAAGATTTTAATTCACGTTTATATAGTAGTATAATTATAACTTGGATAATCAAAATTGGAAAACAAAAAAAGCCTCGTTGATAAATTGGTGTCATAAAATACTCGTTCTAGTAATTAAAAAAAAATCATTCACTTTTTTAATTAAAATACGTCTTCCAGTTCGGTTGCTCTAGTCTACAAAGTAGGCGGGTGTAATTTCTAAGTCGTTTAACTCCTTGTAAACAAAAGTAGTGATTCACTTGTTTTGAAATAAGTCATGCACGACGCCTACTCTTCAAATGTTAGTTGCACTATTTGATGTTACAATGTTGCTAACTGATGTCGAACAAAAGCTGATTAACATATAAATATGTCACAATGAGAAGACTAATTAGTTATTGTTGTTATTTTAAATATACGCGCGCAGAAATGGAATGGAGCGAATGTCATTCAGGAGTGGGGTAAAATCTTTTATCTTATTAAATAAGAATACTAATTTTTTAATTTATCGAATTTTTGGGCGTATTTTCCAGCTCCAGATAGTAGACAGACAGGACAAAGGGATAAAATATTAATAAGAACTAAAAGTGCATCGTGGCAATCTTCTGAAACTTTGCTTAAGAATTTAAGGCTTAAAATTTCTATAAATCTAGAATTTTTTTAAAAATATCGATTTCTTTGAAAATTTTGAAATTTCTTGAAACTTCTGAAAGCCATCTAAGTCGGTTGATGCATACTGTAGAAAATGTCCAGGACATTTATTTGAACTATACAAGTGAACTTCAAACATTACAAATCTTGCTACAAATCCTAAAGAAATGGACAAAAATATTGTTCGTATTATTAAAATCTCTATAAAATATCTGATAATTTGATGTGCATATGTTTCATGACTTTTTTTTTCAATTTTTTTTGTTGATCCTCCGAAACCGCTGAATCTGCCTTTTTAATCCAACCATTTTTTTATTTCCTCAGTACAAGTGAAATGTTTTTAAATCATTCAAATCGGACGCTCCGTTCTCTCAGAAACTGAATGGCCATTTTTGCACTTTTTGCCCTTTATCTTCAAAACGACTAGACCCGCCTTTTCCAAAAACCAATTATCATCCTCTTCATTAATAGGAATCGAATTACTTTCGAATCGTCCAAATCGGTTGATCCGTGCTCTCAAATCATCGACAAAATATTGTATCTGCACATACATACATATACACACACTTACATGAAGTTTTTCTAAGATATACCAAAATGTTCAGAAATCTTTGAAAAGTGAAGATATGCTAAAATTTTCATTTTCGTTTTTTTTGCGATTACTATAAGTTACCCTACGAGAAGTTGAAAATAAGCTTAAAATATGAATTTATCAATCGAAATTTTCAAAATGTATTTATATTTGTCATTTCTCACTCATAAATATATTGTAGTTTGCTTATTAAAACTAGCAATAATAATAATAAAAAAAAAACAAAAAATAGATTACGTGATACTATGATAATGAATATGATAATATGAATGTATATAAAGAATATGAATATTATCAGAAAAGAGGCTTAGAATAAGAGAGCCATTAATTTTGTAATAAATACTACAAAGAATAAATTTAATTCATTGAATTATTTAACGAAAACATACTGTTTTATGCAATTTGTAAAAATGCGATTTCAATTATCCAATTAATTATTGCAGATTTAAAATATAGCAATTATTTTTATTATCAAAGTGTTGTCGACCACTGTAAAAATAATGTCGTCTGAAAACGCCGTCATAACAAATCAGTTGTTGCTTGAATTTCATATTCGTCTGTAACAATTTAGTATTAGAAATCATGAAATAAGATCTGCTGTAAATCTCGAGATGTCAACAATACAAAAAAGGCAGAGCACGTGCTTAATTAAGTTGCAAACGAAGCTACAGCTGATATGGAATATGATTCACTCGAATAAAAAGATTAAGACAAAAGTATAAGGCTAAGGATCAAAGTCGAATTCCTATTAAAAAAAATAAAACATTGCCACTAATCATTTCTCTTAGCGCTGCGTCAAATGCATCTAATGTTTTTCTAGCATCCAATAGTAGTTGATAAGTAGTAGAATCAGAGGTAGGCAGTTACAATCACCAACCCTAAGTAATACAAGAAGATGGTATCTAATATAAAACTTTCATAATTAAACAATTTGCCAAAGCCAGTTGCTAATGTTCCATTTCAATTTTACTGTTTTTACTATGTGCCCCAACTATAACTTAAGTCTAATCTGACCTTTATTTGCTCAGGACTCAAAGTCACCCTCGCGATGAAGGAAAAGAGCAAAAATGCGGCACGAAGTCGTCGGGAAAAAGAGAATGCTGAGTTTCTGGAACTTGCGAAATTGCTGCCCCTGCCTTCTGCCATCACTTCACAATTGGACAAAGCCAGTGTCATTCGATTGACCACAAGTTACCTGAAAATGAGACAAGTATTTCCGATGGTGAGTAAAAAATATACAATATAAAAAATTATCTTAGTTTAAAATAATAAGATAAGTCAAAATTAATAATAATAATAATAATTT